GCGATTGACACATAAATAACTGAATTTAGCAGAAATACAAAGTGATGGGAGCTTTTGTCTTTGCAATCTTATTTGCTCTATCAAATTCCAAAACATGTCAAGAGGCTATGGACGCACTGTATGCCAAAACATATAGTGCAGACTCTTATACAAAATGTCGAGAAAATAAATACCCCGAACGTTTTTGTGTTTCGATTTATCGTCGTTCAATGGCAAACCCACATCTCTTGTGTGACGAATACAACAACAAACCGTACTACAAGATGTGTAGAGATAACTTCGATGTCTTAAATCAATTATTTCAAAGTAACTCTATGAATCAAACAGATGTCGATGGAACTTTAATAAAAATCTGTGCAAACTCATACTCCCGTCAACACACTCAGTTTTGTTTCATTATTCTTCATGAGATATACTCATCTTTTCATCTCAAACAACACAACGAAGATTCGTCATTTTGTTCTCAATACAACTGAATAATTGTTATTTAAAATGTTATTTCATAATAATAAAATGTTATTATAAATGTTATTATAAATGTTATTATAAATGTTATTATAAATGTTATTATAAATGTTATTATAAATGTTATTATAAATGTTATTATAAATGTTATTATAAATGTTATTATAAATGTTATTATAAATGTTATTATAAATGTTATTATAAATGTTATTATAAATGTTATTATAAGTCTCAAACCTTTCAACTAAAAAAAACTTAAACCTCAAATGATAATTCTCATAGGCAATTAGTATAGTAAAGATATATTAAAAAGAATCAATAACAAAATTATATGAAGACCAAACTATAAAAAAGGCTTCAAACTTGAAAAACTCATAAATCATGCCCCCAAAGAAGAAAGAAGCGACAGACCCAGCAGTCGAACAATTGTTCCAAAGACTTGAGCCGTTCTTTGACGGTATTTTAGTGACAATGAAATCGTTCTCGTTGACAGACAAAGCAGAGTACCAACAACTGTTTACCGAATTTTTGACGCAGTCTGGCTCGAACTTCTACGAGGTGTTCATTCGCTTTTTCTTGGAACGATTGAAAAGCGGGTTTCAGTCTTCTATGGAAAAAATGCGCGATGTTCCGATTGACGAAAACTTCCCAAAGATCATTAAAAACGACTTGGACCGATGGGAATATGCTAAAGAGTCCATTCTTGTATTGTTCAAACCGTTGGACTATGCTATGGCCAATGGTGCTTCGACGACCATTGAAATGATTGTTAAAGATAAATGGAACACTGACTACCTCCACACCTTGAATGAGAAATTCAATTTGACTGAAAACTTGACCCACGTCTTCTCCGAGTCTAGAAGAACCGGGAATAAGACTGCAGTTATGCCAGTCAAAAACATTCTTTTGTTGTACAAGAGAGAGAACTTAGTGTCTAGAGGACAAGTTCCATTGATCAAGATGTTCGAAGACTCGTTCTGTAAGTCATCCACTGAAGACTATAAGATCTTTGCTGCTGATTTCTTTAAGGAAGGTGTTCACGGGTTCTTGCCAAGAGCCAAACAGTTTATGGAAGACGAGGAGTTCAGAATTGATAATGCCATGGACGAAGAGATTGGAGAGAAGATGAAAGGGTTCTTCAAGAAGGAGTTCTTGAGAGTCTCCCTTGAGATGGTGTTTGCCAAGTACGACGAGATTTTGGAACAAGACAAGGAAATTGAATTCCAGGCTATTACCAAGTTGTTTGGTCCGATCAAAGAGTTGGACCGATTTGCGGAGAAGACGAAGAACAACTTCCAGAAATATTGTCAAGATAAGATGGAGAATGCGGTGAAACAGAACAAGGACATTAATAAGGATTACCCTGCTGTTGTTGGCCTGTTGTTTGAATTACTTGATCGACTTGAGAAGATGCAGCAAGTCTATTTCCTTGGAGACAAGACTTTCAAGACGCAATTGGACTCTGCTTTCAAAGACGCGTTGATTGATAATAAGATCCTTGATCTGTCCGATAAGAAGGAAGAAGTCTTCCCACGAACTCTTGCGAACTACGCACACATGTTACTTAAGAAAGGGAGTAAGATCGAGCCCGATCAAGATAAAGTCAAGCAGAATATCATTAAGATCGGGAAGGTCTTACAATTTGTCGGGAACAGAGATCTCTTTGAAATGGTGTATCAGAAGAACTTCCAAGACAGACTTGTCTTGGGGTTGATGGAGTCGTCCGACCTTGAAATGTTCACCATCAACGAATTGTCGAACATTTGCGAGAGACAAGTCAGCCACAAGCTTCACACGACGTTCCAGGAGTTCAATCAGTCAAGCGATTTACTTGAGAAGTTCAAGATCTATTGCACCAAAAACACGGTCACGCTTCCAAAGTTCGATTTCAGTATTGTCGTCTTCTCTAACAGTTCCTCTCAAAACACGAACTCGCCGTATGAGATGCCAGCCGATATGAAATTTGTTTTCGACAAGTTCACAGAGTTTTATAACGAAAACCAGAAGAAGAAGTTGACTTTGAATCATAACTCGTCAACTGGTGTTGTGCAGTTCCAATGGCTCAAGAGACCAATGCAAGTGACTTGCAGATTCTACCAAATAGGGATCTTGATGTTGTTTAATGAGAATCCACAGATCAAGTTGAATGAAGTCGGTGCGAAGACTAAGTTGACGAGCGATGTTTTAGCCGTCAACATGTCTGGTATTCTTTCAAAGGGACTCATCTCGAACTCTACTGGGAAGTCCTTTACGCCGGACTCCGTCTTCAGTTTCAATATGAGTTTCAAGCCGAAAATGACGAAATTCTCTGTGATGCAAGCTGATAAGGAATACGTCGAGAAGGAAGAACAAAAGAGAAATGACGCCGAACGCGATCAATTGGTTGATCAGAGAAACAACGCGATTCAGGCGAAACAAGTCAGAATTATGAAACAAAGAAAGACAATGAAATACGCGGACTTGATCAATGAAACATGCGAACACTTGAGAACGCGTTTCAATGTCACTTCAAGAATGGCAAGACAAAACATCGAGTTCTTGATCAATAAAGAGTATTTCAAGAGATCAGACACCGCTATCGACACCCTCGAATATCTGTCTTAATTTCAAAGCTTCGTTTTATACTATTTAATCCTTTTCATTCTCTTCAAATCCAAACCGTTGGAAGACCATCTGACTTACTTATAAACCTTTGCATCACTTTTATATACGTATATATTATTATATATTATATATATTCATAATATACAACACCAACTCTCGTCGGCTACACTCGTCTTGAAAAACACATTATCACCTATTATACACTTCTTTGGTATACCAATAATCGACGTCACTAATTCACAATCGAAAAAGGCATTATCACCAATTTCTTCAAGTTGACTCCCAAACCTCAAACTTTTGAGGTTTGGACATTTTAAAAACGCCTTTTTGCGAATGACCTTCAGATTTGCTGGGAAGGAAAGCTCTTCAAGCGAAGAACACTCTGAAAATGCAAGGGAGTGAATGACCTGTAAACCACTCCCAAACACTACTCGTCGCAATGAAGTGCATTTATAGAACGAAGCCGCTGCAATAGTCTGTAAAGAGTTTGGAAATGTTATTTCTGATATTCTTGAACACTCCGAAAAGCAGCTCATTCCAATTAACTTCAAATTGTGATTCAACGCGACGCGAGTCAGTGAGGCGCATTGGTAAAACGCCTTCTTTGATATCTTTTCTGTGTTTTCAGGAAGAGTCACTTGCACCAGAGAATTGCAATTTGCAAATCCACTTGAGCAGATTTTCTGGAGTGATTGGGGGAAATTCACTCTGACTA